ATCAGATTTACACAGTCAGGTGCATGTGTGAAAGAGGGTGTGTACTGAAGTAGCTTGTCAGAAATCTGAGTGTCTCTTTGTGTTCCCAGCTGCGAAGATGATGGTCTACCTGGAGCCTTCCTCTGATAAGATGGCCTGTGAGATAGCTACGGCCCTGGATGAGTCGTTGTCTGGGAGAAGCATCCAGGTTTGTGATCACACACCTGTGGCCTGCGTCATGTGCAGATTAGTCTGACTCTCTTGCGGTTACCTGGCTTCATTGAGGTGAACATCAGTGGTCCTGCACAACCGGTATCACGAAGCTGGTTATCACCTGGCTCAGTTTACCTGTCCAGCTACAAGTGTGTTCATGTGAAAGAGGTAGAGACGTTAATCCAAGCAGCATCATCAGAACTGTGTTTAAAGTTGTTCATATGATATAAATCTATGATTTATCTGCAGGTAAATTCAGTTATAGTGACGGTAAATTGTGTGTTTAGACCAAAGTGTTTGGATTCTGATTCCGCTGATCAGTTGTGGTTCTTAACGAGTCTGGACCCTGAGTGCTTGGTGCACTTTAATAATTGTAACTGAACCAGATAATAAATGTACCAAACTCATGAATAAATGAGTGTTAGCACAGATTTGACTGAGGAGGGTGGGGCATGTGAAGGAGAGGGAGACCGGTGCAACACGTCGAACACCAAACACCCATGACAAAACACCTGCACCAGCATGGTGTTTTGTCATGCCAGCAGTGCATCCTCCCGTGGCACAGGTCGGTCTTCCACAGGTGTAGCATCAACAAAACAAAGACAAAATGTATCACCATGTACAGTCTTCTTCTTCTTCTGTTGGTTTCAATGATTGGTGAGTGGCATAGCACCATCCACCGTACCAGTAGCCATATCCTGGTACTGAAACTACTGCAAATGAAATTTGTTGAGGAATTGATGACCAGAATCAGAATTATTCAATTTCTTATGATTCACAACCCCTGAAGGAAATCTGCATTAACCCATGATCTTGCTTTCTGGTACAGGACCCTGATGTCTCTGCTACAGAACAATAACCAGATAAAATAACTGTGTGTGTGTGTGTGTGTGTGTGTGCGCGCTGCAGATCTGTTCTGAGGTTCTTGAGGCCCTACGTGATGGGCAGCTGGGCGAGGGTCAGCAGAAGGCTACCGAGGCTTACAGAGCAGCCTGCCATAAGATCTACCCTTACAGCCTTGCCTTCATGCCTCCTGGTTACCAAGACAACAGCACCACGATCAGTGCCAATGGCGACCTGTCAGCTGGCGAGCATGACGACATTGCAAACGAAATGTGAGCTCGGACAAGAGGAGAGGAGGAGAATGAGGAGGAGGTGCGAACACACCGCCAGACGCCTTAGTCCACCAACACACCCATTTCCCACCCTACCCCGCCCCCCATCAGTTCCTGGGCCTTGGCTGCTGTGAGTCGCCCCCACGCTGCACTGATCTGGATGGACTGAGCACCACAGGAAAGACGAGAGGGAGCCGACACGTGGAGCGATGCCCATTTAACTTTTTAAACGAAGGCCCTGTTCTGTAACAGATGGTTGGAGAGGCAGAAGAGGATTCTGGGAAATATGGACTGAGATGGCTTTTGTGAACACAGTTTAGGTTTTCTCTAACTCCTGTGTTTTCACGCCAATGTCTTTCTTGTAGGTGCATCTGCTCACATTTTTAAAGTAATTTATATATTACAAACTGACAAATTAATAAAACCGTGAAATCAGTATCAGTGTGGTGATGTTTCTGTTTGACAGGAGCTGCTCACCTCCTGTTCTTCTCTACTCTGCCACATGAGGGTGCCGCCTGCTCCCTCCCAACTCAGCTCACCGTCCACCTGCTCCTGTTCATCAGACATCAAGGAGCTCTGAGTAAAACAGTTTTTCTGGTGGAGTTGATTTAATTTGATAAAGACAAAGATGTGATAACATAACAAGACATGACATGACATAACAGCATACACAGAAAATGCATAAATAAGGTGTTGGGTATTAATCGCAGGAAGAAAACAGATACTTGGGGGTAGATGCGAGGGTTGGGGGAAGCATTCAGCACTGGGGAGTTGGAAGCTGTTTGGTTTGTTATGGTCTGGTGACAGGTTGGGAGATGGGATTGGTTGATTGGAATGGAATTGGTTTTAAGGCGAGGCTCCTACAGTGGTCATGCAGGAGTTGATTTAACTGATGTCACTGAGGGGGATGTTCAGAGTGATGATGCCGTCTGTTAGAAAACAACCTGTCTGTCACTGAAGGTCACCGCTGTCAACTGTACATGAAGCTGTCTTCCAGCTGTCACAGTTTGGGATGGTGCATGTGTGTGTCCAGAGCCTCCACCTGAGAAAAGGTGTGGTCCTGATTCAAGCTGGTGGTGATGAACCCCACCACCAGGAACAGGTCTGCTGCTGTGTATCAGCTCTGTTTAGCCCATAGGAAGACAAACCTACAGAGAGCCAGAGCTGAACACCTGAGCCTCAGAGAAGGTGCAGATAGAATAATCATCAGTTTGTCTCCTGATGATACCGAGATCCACAGAAAACAGTTCACAGCAGGACAACTAACCCCTGACCAAACGTTAAGGAGGGATGCATATCAAGAAGATTAAATATTCTGATGTCACAAGAGAAAAGTTTCATGAGTGAGATGAACACAGCTGAAGGTACTGATGATAATAAAGTGTTACTATACTCACTGTCCATATCCATACACACACACGTTCAGTGAAGGGAGCATCTACACACGTCAGTTTATTAGGAACACCAAGCTAAAACTAATGCAATCCAATCCAACAGTACAATAGTAATGAAGTCTGAAAACTGTCACAACTTTAACTTGGGTCTGCAGAATAGAGAGAGAGGGAGAGAGAGTTCAGTGCATCATGGGAATCCCCCAGCAGTCTAGGTCTATATAGCAGCATAACTAACACAAGACAATATGGCTGTGCTTCCTTGAATGACTGCCGGCTGGGAGACAGCTGGATTCCATCAAGGCAAGGCTGCAGGTCCTGATCATATCAGTCACAGGGTTCTGACACATAACAATAGTTAGACATGTGGACATGTGCCATCTGGGTTATATACTGCATATCCCTGCTGGACAGGACATCCTCAGGAAGCTGGTGTGAAGAGCTACTCTGGTATACATGCTGACTTTGTACTGCTAATTATTTTCTCCTCCACATCAACTCTACAATAAAAACGTCTGCCTGAGACTCTTGCTGATCATCTCTCCAGCTCACAGGATTTCACAAGTAACACAGGAATGCCACAGGGGACTGCCCTGTCCCCACTTCTGTTCACCTCTGAACCATGTGACCTGCAGAAGCTCTGACGGCTCTGCAGTGGTGGGGTGTGTTTGAGATGGGCAGGAGGTGGAGTACAGGGAACTGGTAGCTACCTCTGTGGAGTGGAGCAATAGGAACCATCTGCTCCTACATGTGGACAAGACCAAGGACATGGTGGTCAGCCTTAGGAGAAGGAGAACCTCCACTAAGCCCATTATCATGATGGGTGAGGAGGTTGGAGGTGTGGAGCACTACATGTACTTGGTAAATGGACTGCACTTATATAGACTCAAAGCTTTACACTACAGTAGAAGCCACATTCACACACATTCATACTGTGCTACATCAGAGGCAGTTTGAGGTTCAATATCTCGCCAGGACACTTTGACGTGCAGACAGGAAGAGCCAGGAGTCAAACCGCCACCGACCTGCTCTACCTGAGCTGCTGTGCTGTGTGTGTCCACTTGAACAACAGACTGGACTGGAGGACCAACACTGATGCTGTGTGACTCTGCTTGTTGAGGAAGCTCAGATCTTTTTAAGTGCAGCAGCTTCTGGAGATCTTCTACTAGTCTGGGGTATTGAGGCCCCTTCCACCATGCTGTGGTCTGGTGGGGGAGCAGCCCCTGTGCCAGATACCAGCAGGATCAATTAACTCATCCACAAGGCTGGACCATCATTCGTCAGAACGTTTTGAGTCAGTGAGGAGCAGGAAGTCTCTGAACAAACCATCCCATCCACCCACAACACACTGCTGAAAAAGAGAAGCTGGTTCTAACAGACTCAAGGTGACACGAAGTGAATGATGTTTCAGTTTGATGCCTGATGCTCCAGGTCTTTGAGCCCCAGGATTGGTTGGGCACTGCACTGGGTTGACATTGGGCAACTGGCAGATTGTCTTGTCTCTGGAGTCTAAAGAAGAAACAGACTTCTCACCTCAGTTCAGGTTGTTCTGCGTCCCAGTCACCTTCCAGTGCCTCATGGACTCTGTTGCATTCACATCCTGCATGTGCATCCTCCTGCTGCAGTGCTCGAATCACTGAGGCAGGCTGTGCTCACTGCCAGCACTATCTGGGTACCACTTGGGTGGTGGGCAGGTGCTCCCTCAGGTAGATGAGACTCATTCACTATATGCCATTATGGCAACATACAATTTGTAATTAGTGTAATTGACAAAGCAAAGCACAATCTTAAATCTTAAAAATCTTATCTCAAACGAATCCCATGCATTAATGTTGTCATGTGATGTCATGACTTTGCAGAAACTGAAAACCAGACAGGATGGCATGTATTTATTTATTTCAACATATCACAAGTTTATTTACTCTAAATGAATGTGTTTAACAGAAAATGGAGGTAAAATATATTTTGTCTTCACAAGTGTGACTTAACATTATCGTTACATAATCCAGTTAACTTCATATCTGTCTTTGTTCCTCCAGAGAAGTTGATGTTGATGCTGCAGACAGTAAAGACGGAAAGTCGTAATCAAACCCTTGTATACCGTGTCAAAGGACATGAACACAAACTACACAAGGATTTCAATCTCAATTCATCTGGCTTTCTTTCTTTTTTTTTTTTTTAAGAATTTTTTTTGGGGTTTTTTGTGCCTTTAATGGACAGGACAGTAGAGAGACAGGAAATGGGGAGGAGAGAGAGGGGGAATGACACGCAGGAAAGGGCCGTCCGATGCGGGAGTCAAACCGGCGGCCAGCTGCAGCGAGGACTGTAGCCTCTATATGTGGGGCGCCTGCGTAACCCACTGCGCTACGCGACGCCCCCATGTGGCTTTCTTTAAGTCACTGATTAAGTCTATAAAAATGTCTGTTGTATGTGTGTAAACTATGTCATCATCTGTAGAGCTGAAAACATGCATTCTTCCACCTGGACTGTCACAGTTTGGGACAGAGCTTGTTTTCGTTCAGAGCCTCCACCTGTCCAGTGGTCTGGGAGCTGAGAAAGGTGTGGTCCTGATTCAAGTAGGTGGTGATGAACTCTGGGAAATCTCTCTTTAGGACCACCTCCAGGAACATGTCTGCTGCTGTGTGTAAGCTCTGTTTAGCCCTGAGGAAGACAAACATAGAGACACAAGAGCTGAACACAGGAGCAACAGAGAGGAGGGGAGGGCAGGTCCACAGGAGGTCAACAGAGAGTCCAGAGTGCTCTTGTCTCCGAGATTATTATAGGTAAGAGCAAAATATACCAATGATCAGGTGTGGTGTAGTATACTGTAGTATAGTGTAGTATATTATAGTGTAGTGTAGTGTAATGTAGTATAGTGTAGTATAGCATAGTATAGTGTTGTGTCCTGTAGTGTAGTATACTGTTATGTAATGTAGTATAGTGTAGTATACTGTATTATAGTGTCATATTGTGTAGTGTAGTGTAGTGTAGTATAGTATAGTGTAGTGTAATGTAGTGTAGTGTAGTATAGTGTAGTGTAGTGTAATGTAGTATCATGCACTATAGTGTAATGTAGTGTAGTGTAGTATAGTGTAGTGTAGTGTAATGTAGTATCATGCACTATAGTGTAATGTAGTGTAGTGTAATTTAGTATAGTGTACTGTAGTGTAGTGTACTGTAGTGTAGTGTAATGCAGTATAGTGCAGTATAGTATAGTAGTCCAGTGTAGTATAGTGAACTGTAGGAGAAGAAGTAGAAGTAGAAGTGTAATGTGGTGTAGTCTAGTATACCGTAGTATAGTGTTGTATAGTACAGTCTGGTGTACCATAGTGTAGTGTTATGCAGTGTAGTGTAATAATATAGTATAGTGTAGTGTACTATACTGTAGTGTAATGTAGTATAGTGTAGTTTAGTATATTGAACTGTAGTGTAGTATTGTGTAGTGTAGTGTGGTGCAGTCTAGTATACTGTAGTATAGTTAAGTATAGTACAGTTTAGTATACCGTAGTATAGTGTAGTATAGTGTAGTGTAGTTGGTGTAGTGTAGTGTATAGTATAGTATAGCATAGTATACTATAGTGTAGTATAGTACAGTGTAGTGTAACGTAGTATAGTGTAGTGTAGTATAGTACAGTGTAGTGTAACGTAGTATAGTGTAGTGTAGTATAGTATAGTTTTGGGTAGTATAGTGTGTGTTTACCTAACAGAAGGACACAAAGTGCTGAGCTCCTTTATCACCTCCTCAGTTAGCTCAGTCACCAGTCGCCGACTCACCACCCTGCTGTCGTCCTCCAGCTGAATCTGATGACGTATCCACTGCCACACCTGACACACACACACACGCACACGCACACACACACACACACACACGCACACGCACACGCACACGCACACGCACACGCACACGCACGCACGCACGCACACACGCACGCACGCACGCACGCACGCACGCACGCACGCACGCACGCACGCACACACACACACACACACACACACACACACACACACACATTAATGTGTCATACTCTTACTATTCAGAAATATGGATCAGGGGCTGATTTCGTCCACATCTAGAACATGGGACTTTCAATGGTTATGTTGCCTTATTGTACCCTGGTCTGGGCCTCTAAATGTATCTTCTGTTTTGAGTTCTTTTTTGTTTTAGGTGTCCACCAGTGGACAGGACACACTAACATAGTGGCCGTATAAAGCTGATAACTTATAAAAGAAACAAGTGTTTTCATTTGACTTTCTGCTCAATAACTTGATGCTACATGTGTGTTTTTATTGCTCATATGTATGTTGTATCATGACAGTAGGAGAAAAAAGTAATAATTACAAGTAATAATAACAGGTCAGATCAAGAGGAAGTTATCTAATCAACTAAACTGCAGCAGTGAGCCCTGAAAAACTCTGGACAACTCAGGACAACTGGGACCAGTATCACAGGCTGACAGACATAAGCTAAGAACACTATCTGATTGTAGGACATGACAGACTCTGGTGAGCCTGTCATGTGTATGTTTGAAAACTGGTGTCAGCAGTAGCCAAATTGAGTCTTCAGGTTTGTTATACTGAACAGTTTCAGCCATGTTATCAGAAACCAACCACCTTACTCTGTTGTAATACATCCATATTCTCAGCGGAGAGCACATACAACTATGGTAAACACAGAGGGGAAAACTTGAACCAGTCATTCACCACCCACACTGCTTCAAGTTACCTTTATCAACCAGCACTCAGTCACTCCACTCTTCTACAGTCTACTACTCACTCTATCCTTTCAGTTGGTTTGGTAACATAAAGAAGGTAAAAGCTTTTGTCTTCTCATACTTTAGAGAGCAGCATATGGCCATTTCCTGTAGACAGTATATAACAGTGTGGAACTGCTACATATCAAACTCAACAAAGGTTAGTTAGTTCATTTAGCACCACTGCAAACAGAAAAGAAACACAGGGCAGACCTCCACCAAGGCCAACGTCAAACATACAGCAGACTTCAGAGAAAAAAAAATCTAAACCAAATGATCTGGATCTGCCCCAAAAACTACACATCGTTTCCAGGGAAACCACCAGAATATGTCACAAAGAAGTTCTTGTCTTTCGACACTTGCTACTGCAGGTTCAGACTGGGAGAATTTCAAAGCAACTCACAGTAGACAAGACTTACTTTTCTGCTGATTGGGTTGAACTGGGTTGATGTTGAGATTAAATAATATTCATAGCTCAGGTTAAAGTTAGTGAGTGTTATCAGATCTCACACCTGTCACCTGTCTGACCCACATTATCCACAAGGCGTCCCGGAACTTCCTGTGTCCTGTCTTACAAAGGAGCACAAGTGCACCAAAGTAAGCCTGGAGATGAAGCTAACAATTTCCCATGTGTAACCCAAACTGCTCCCACCCTTAGAAACTGGTCAGAGGTGGACCCCATCTGCAGCTACACAGCAGGTAAAGTCAGCACTCAAACATCACGACATGGATGGCCAGTTACAACAAGGGAGAGGAGGCAACAAGGCAACCCCATCTCACTATTGATGCTTTGTGGTTGAGAATATAAGAGAATTGTGGGACATCGAAGCATTTAGAACCAGGTTCATTATACGAGCCATGTAAGATGTTCTAACATTTCCCAGGAACTTTCAACCAATGGTACAGCAAAGACCCTTCTGTCCATCTCCAGCAGACCTGACACACATTCTTGTCAGCTGCAAGACGAGTCTTACGCAAAGCTGTTACACCTGGTGGAACAACAAGGTACTGAGGGGTTTAGCAGCTACGCTGGAGAGCAGATGGACGACCATCAGTGCCTTGCCTCTTCTGTCATTCCATCTTGCATCTGTAAGACAGTTTGTCTGTGCAGGTGTGAAGCAACCAAAGGTCTGTACTTCAAATCTAGAGACCAAAAAGCTGGAGCAGAACGAGACTGGATGGTACTGGTGGACCTTGATCAGAGGCTCTCCTTCCTACATTAGATTGCCACGACCAACCTCAGACCGGACCTCGTGCTAATTATTCTTTTGTGTGTTTTGGGCATAACATGTAATAAACCAATCACAGTGCATCTCCCATTCCCATACTGTATTGCTATCATATTATCATAATGACACAGTGATTCACACAGAGTTAGATTCTATTTGCAGTCAGTTGATTATATATTGTAAGTGAGCAGTGAGTCCAGTCCAGACCAGTGAGTCCAGTCCTGACACAGGCAGCAGCTCTGTGACTCTGAGGGGCAAGGCCAGTCTGAGTGAATCAATGTGCTGCTCACAGCTCTACAGAGAAGTAACGGCACAAATCACAAAGTTAGAAATTAGATGTGATATGTTGAGAAGTGTGAATAAATCTTCCGTTCGTTATGAAACTGTGGACAAATTTAGGTGATGAATGGGTAACACTGGAGGATATACCAAGTAGTAAGAAAGAAGCTTCTCTGCAGAGCCTCATGTAGAGACAACATGTCACAAAGAAGCTCCGACCTTCTGAGGCTGTACTGTAATGTTCACCTGACTGATCAAACATCTAAGAGCATCTTCAGCTCACTCTGCTTGTGTGAAACAGACAGAGTGTGTGCGCTGTGTGCACCCGTGTATGTTGGCACATGTTGCCCTTTTGACACTGATGCCTTAAAATATCAGTGAAATACTGCACCACTGACTTAAGACCAGGTTTTTGCTGGTCAGTAGTATACTCACTTCCACACCTCATCTTAAGACTAACGCACCCATGTGCGCACAGATGAGCGCAAGTGTCTTTGCAATTTAAACAATGTGGGTGCTGGACAGGAAAATGACAGCTATGTTGGTCTGAAACTAGCAAAGACTTGTTTTATTCTTTGTGTGGCTTTTGCGCCTGGTGTAAGATAGAGCCCAAGAACTTTAATTACACTAAACTGGCAGCTGATGCTGAACAACATGGAAAGCTAAAGTCTGCCCAGATAAATTTGGTTGCTGAGGTTTTTTTTGGGCAAGTCCACTCCCAGGCTCTTTAAGGACATGGGAATCCAAGGACAGACCCAGCATCAAGCCATAAGAGCCCGTCGAGGTATATGCACAGGGTAAAGGGCATGGTGATGCTATATTTGGATCATTTAATACTGAACCCACCTGTGATCTGGAGATCTCTGCTGTGGCTGAATCTTCCACCTGACCTCTGTAGAAGAAGAGGCCTTTACCTACGAACCAGGACATGGTTTAAACAGTCTTCAGTCCACACAGTGACAGTGACAGTAACTAAAGACTGGCTGTACTTACCTGAGAGCCAAGCATTGATAAAGAGGACACCGACTGTAATGTTATACTTTAAACCATAAAGAGTGACTCCTCCCTGTGGAAACACAAAGTACATCACATTATACTTCATTATCATTATACAGCATATCCTCAGTGTTTCATTTATCATCCTATCATGAAATTCTGAGGTCAGTTCTCAAGCCAACTTAAATCATATTGGAGATTTTTGTGCGCTCCACCACCATCATCATCATCATCATCACCACATCAGAGATAATATCTCTCCACCATCATCATCTCATCAGAGTGAATATCTCTCCATCATCATCATCATCATCATAATCATCTCATCAGAGCAAATATGTCCTGAGAGAATTATGTTCATCCACCAGTCGAGTTCAGACACTTTGAGACTCTGTGACAAGCAGCTGTGAATCTGCTCTGGAGGCTCGTGGTGGACAAACACCTGACCAAGTTCACCTGTGGCGGTTGTGTCACCAACCTGTATGTTGTGTGAGTGGTCTTTCATTTCCTTCAATTACATGAACTAAACCTGTCCCAGACTTGTGCAGTTCAGCTCTGAGAAAGGTGATGGACTGACCGAAGGCATGGACAGGAGGTCGTCAGGAGTGACCGTGACGTCATCTCGAAGCTGGTGAAGTTGATTATCACCGTCAGTGTGGAGCTGGAAGAGCTGGAGGAGGTGAAGAATTGATCAGAAAATAGAAGTCATCATTGGCTGCTCTTATTTATAGTAAACCTTACTTACTTTCTGCATGGGCTCAATCAAGCTCAGGTCATACACCATGAAACCATCCACACCTGCTCTGATCTCCAGTAACTTCAGTCTGAAAGGAGGAGCCAGTGTCACAGACTTCAGTTTAAAAATACACTGTCAAGAGAACTGTCAGTAAGAGCAGACAACACGAGTGTGACTGAATGATGATGATGATACTCTGTAGTCTGTGGTTAATTCACATGATGCAGCAATAACTGAGTAATAACTTTTAATGAGACTGTTAAAATGCTTCAGTTCCATTCAGTTCACTATGACGGCATCAGCTGTGACAGAGACACTCTGTCCTCCAAGTCATCTGTCTGCTGCACACTGAAGGGAGTATTTGGATCCTTAGCTTAAGTAACAGTACCAATAAAGCAATGTAAAAAAACCATTACTACTGTAAGTCTTGCAATAAAAATAAAGATGTAGACATTTCCAATAATTATTTCCATTTCCTTTAAAGTGAAATTACAATTTTGCAGAACAGTGGTCGACAAGTTACAGAAAAAGGTAAACAATTAAGAGCAGAGCAGTGGTTAATGCTTTATCTGAAGTGTCTGATTCATTTCTTCATGGGAAGTTTTTGTGCTGATGCAGAGAAAAGATGAATTTCCTCAAAGTAAAATCCCAAATAAATATTAATTCATTCTTCTTTTATTATTAGGAACTTTATGGTTGAATTGTGTCCTTGTAGGAAACAAGTTTTTTCATCTTCCACTGACCTGACTGTCACCTCACCTTAACCTGCTCTGCTCTGACTAAAAGACTCTATAAGATACATTTTTAAATGAATGAATTAGTGTATGAGCTGAATATGGGCTCTGTTTCTCTGGTTAGTTAAATTACAGACAGAACATCTTTTTGGAAAATGTAGGAATTCATTTAGAAAAATCCATAAAATGAAGAACCAAGAAGAGTTATAGAGTCAGTAAATCAACTGACTAATGTCAATTACATTAACATGTTAATTTTATTAGCAGTAGCTAGCATTAGCCAACATAAGATACTGGTCATACCAGACCCAGTTAGCCTGTAGCAGCTAAACCCCTGACTGTGCTTGGTTGAGAAATATATTATAATATAATATAATATAATCAACTTTACATATAGTAAGAATAAAATGTATTATTAGAGAGCCTATAGCCTTTCTTTAATGCCATCCTCAAGACAAACTTTACATTTTAGACCCACTATAATCGTCACTCTTGGTAAAATGATCAGTATATTTTTATTTTGTATTCTGTGATTTACATTGTAGCCTGAAACGACTGGTGATGTGTTTTTTAATTATGCTGTCTTACTCCCAATGAAGGTCTTTGGAGAACCAGAGTGACTGAGTCTTTGTCGACTTGCTGTGGCTGAGATCAGGATAACATTGCTGCACTAAAACTCCAATTACTCCAAAAGTAAATTCATCAGAAAGATTTGTTTTATTACCTCAGTCCTGATAACATTCAGTTTCATGAACATGTGTGAAGAGCTCTTACCTGGTGACAGTGGCCAACACTCTCCTGTAGGACTCATGGAGCTGGTCCTGAGGTAGCAGCAGAGCAGCCATCCCTCCTGTGGCCAGAGCTCCCCTCCGATGACACGTCTGAACCAGCAGCTCCATGTAGCTGCGCAGGAAACGTTTCTCCATGTTCACATACTTACTGCGGTCAGGCAGCAGGAAGGCCTGGCGGTGTCCTACAGGAGACACACAAGAGACACAGATGTTTCTTTTTCATTATAACCTAATAATAATAACTATAATACCATCATACCGATCATCATCATTAATGAATTCTTGCAGTACTTTGACTTTGACTGGGCTCAGAGGCTCAGTGAGAACACAGAGGAGTGAATGGAGCTAAAACTCTCTTCACTCACCAAACTTGTTGACAAAGGAGGCTGAATAATCCCAGATGCCACAGTTGAGTCCTGCTGAATGGTCTTTCAGCTCATACAGAATCTCCTCCATCTCAAACGCTGCTAATACATTTTCAATCAGCACTGTGGCCTTAATGCTGCCCAGCGGAAGGCCAAGCTACACACACACAGACACACTAATTCACTTACATACAACTACAGCAGGTATAAGTCTACATACATTATTTTATGTAAATACCAACAGGATAATAAGGGCATTTATAAATGTTTTATAGACGTAAAGAAAAACAGAATTATATCCTGAAATGTCAAACTGATTTCATGAAAGGGCCATTTAAAATGTAAAGAGAAATTACTACAGTAAACCTAAAAGAAAAAGATTCAACATTAAACATGAAAGTGAAAAAACAGGAAATCCCTTCTCCACTGGATCTGTGCTGTTTGGATTTTCCAGGTGTGTGTAAATGTACAGGTGAGGCCTAAAGGTTGTTGTGTAGGTCTGTAATAGTTTGAGTGCACTAACTGTTACAACAGCAGGGGGAGTCTGTGTCCTATGCCTATACTGTGACTTAGTTGAAGTAGTAGTTGTAAAGTACAGTGGAGTATTAAGGACGCAAACAAATAATCTTAGATTTTAACAATAGTTTAATTTGTCACAAAATTTGGAGAATAGAGTTTTAATTTCACAAAATAAAGTGGAGCATTTTGACTAAAACCCTAATGATGCTAAAGATGAGTGTGAGGAGAAAGGTGGTGTGTAGTGTTTTATGATTGGACAGGGGATGTTCATGTGACATGTTTGTGTGTGTTGTGTTTACAGCTCTGACTCCTCTGCAGTGTGAAGGGGTTCACTGGTCAAACTTATACCTTCAGGTTGTTGTTTTCCCTCACTGGAATCATATAAACTGACATCACCTGCTGCCACCTGTTCACTATGTTTTCACCTCTTTTATTTCATAATATTTTGACTTTATTCTGAAATACTAGAACTCTATTTCTAAAATATTACAACTTTTTAGAGAAAATATTATGACTAATTATTCAAACTTTTTAAATCAAAATCTTGAATCTGGTCATGTCAATCAAAAACAGAAATGTGAGACCTTCTGTTGAGTCCAGACAAATATCTTGTTCCACAGTCTGGCCTCCATGAAGCTCTCCACCTGACAAACAACAAACATATTACACACATCATCTGTGTGTGTGTGTGTGTGTGTGTGTGTGTGTGTGTGTGTGTGTGTGTGTGTGTGTGTGTGTGTGTGTGTGTGTGTGTGGTGGATGTTGTGTGTTACTTTGGACAGGTAGAGGAAGGGTCCACTCTTGTTTTCGAACAGAGTCTTTCCACAGTGAAACATGAGGAGTCCAAAGTCAAATAGAGGACCGGGAGCCTCCTTCCCCTCCACCTGAACAACAGACAGCCTGTTCTTTATGTTTACATCAGTTTCTTTTCATTAATCAAACTCAACCTGTAACACTTGACAGATCACTACACACTGAACACAATCAACATGCTGAACACAATGAACACAATGAATGTAATGAACACACTGAACACATTGAACACACTGCTAAAACACATTATAGCTCTCAAAGAATTACAAAGTCAAAGCAGTGATTAAGGTCAGTTTCAAATAAACTATGTGCACTGACTCATTGAAGTGACTGAAGTGAAACATGCTGTACTACCATCATGTTGTGCTCCACCATGTTCCAAGCACGGGGACGCAGCATCAGCACTGGAGCCTGAGATATGTGAGGAACATCTGTTAACACACAGAAGGAGGCAGATGAACAACGAGACTGTACTCCGACTGACCCACATCTGGAACACTAACACATCAGCATCCACAATAATCTTTTGTCTATGTAATTTGGCTTTACCAATATCAGTAGCCTATTAGTTTAAAGTGACCCACTTACTGGGAAGCTGGTGGCGCACTGCCTTCAGAACATTGTAAATGCCTGTGATCTGGTTGGAAAATGTAGGACAGTTTCCATCATCAAAGTCAACCTGTCAAAATAAAGGAGGATTTCAGATGACACACAGTGTTCTCCTGTGAATTAACTAGTTGATTTGATATTTAAAGGATAAGGCTGTTGTTATTATATATTTTTATTATTGTCACCAAATCCCATGAAAAGACCAAAACCACTGATGTATTTCAGGCTGCTCACACAGACTCATCAGCTGTGGATAAACATATATCTGGTGCATTAGTGTGTGTTACTGACTGCAGCACAGTGTCTGTGGAACTCAATGTTATTATTATATTGTTGTTATTGTGCTCTTTAGTGTATTATTAATTAAATCAATTATTGTGTTAACATTATAGGTTCAGATTACTTATTTAAGATAATGATTATTAATACTTCACTAGAATCAAGGGATATTATAGTTAACTTTAATATGACCTCAGCTGAAGTGTGTTCAGGTCTACATGTAAATGATTTCCTTTTCTTTTAGTTTTTAAGGTTTTTTGGCAATTTTATGCCTTTATTGGAAATAGTGGAGACAGACAGGAAATATAGTGAGAGAGCAGGGGAATGACATGTAGCAAACAGTCGGGCCAGCCGGGAGTCAAACCTGGGACTCGCTGAGCCCATGTGGTATGCGCCCTAACCATTATGTAAATGATTTCTACATTAGCAGTTAAATAAGTATTTAATGACCAAGCAGAACAGCACATGCAGTTAGTGGACTGGTCTGGTATGGTCACAGGTAAATAGCTCTGGTTTTACCTGTATGCCTTGTGCTGGTGACTGGAGAGCTTTGATGAAGCGCTGGGTATTGCAGGGGGCCAAATCCCCAATATCCACATGTCTCCTTTGGAGCCTTGGGGGTACAGGGAGCACCCTCCAGGCTGGATCTCTCCTGATGTGTGTGGTGTGCCCCTGGAAGCCTGGCAGGTCACCTGACAGGTCCAGGTGGGACTTTCTGGACACTCGCAACCACAAGACCTGAAGAGAGAAAAGAGCATCATCCTGAGCTCAACAGTCCTCCATTCAGTAAAAGAGCTCTCGCCACTGTCTTACCTTATCCACCTCCTCATCAAATGTAGAGATCAGCTCATAGAGGAAGAGGAGGGAGTCAGCAGTGAAAAGTGTCTCATACTCTGCTTCCAGGCCTGAGGGGGGAGGGGACACCTCCATGCTGACTATGCCCTGTGGACAAAAGGTTTAGATCCACATATTTGAGTCTGTACGATGTGGATTCATCATGGTAGAACTCCATGTTCACAGAGAGGTGTCAGAGGTCCAGAGATAGAGAGGACCCATCACAATTCAAAAGCTTCATTATCTGAAAAAACATTGGGACTCACTGTGGATTAAACTGTAACAGACATGTAAAATAAATTCCAGAGGCTTGTTAAAGCGATGACCTGTCAGAAAGAAGCATTTTAACTCCAAAAGAACACTACAGCTAAAGACACTGCTCTGAGGTTCAAACTCACTGTTTCCTTCCTACAAACATAATGTTGTATTCTTTACAGCCCACATTGTTCATCTAATAAACAGAGTAATGTAGTGTTACTCACATGCATACTTACAGACATGCTGACGACAGTTATCTGCTCACTCAACTGAAGTGGACTTTGGTTCTGGTCTCACTGTTTGAACAGGAAGATGATTGTTTGTATGAGGGGATGAGTTTAAAGTCCTGTAGATTCTCTACTTTGAAACTGCTTGAGCACCATGTTAGCAGTTTGGTATCGTTTTGAATATCTGACAGTCTGTTTCTACTGTAAATGGTTTCAGTCAAAATCACCTACAGATTCTTTACTTTGTTGTTTTGGCAGTTTGTGACATTCTTTGGGTCCTCAGAGTAAGAACAACTTTCTCTCTCCTGTCTTGAACTGACTGAAGCCTGCTGCAGTGTCAGAGCTTTTTTTTACACTGGACAAAAAAACCTGCTAACATTGTCTTCAGTGTGAAAGGGCACAATCAGCCTTCAGTCCTCGGTCACATGCAGTAGTCCCAGGTGTTTATTAACTCCACCTCTGATCAGCAGAGTTTGATTTCAATATCCAATAGTGACTATTAGTATATGAAAATCAAACATAAATATCACAAATTTGATTATTGTACCAAAGTCAGTTTCAAACAAATTTTTATCTGCATTCCACACAATTTAGACATTAGCATAGTGAGAGCACCACCAAACAAGACAAGACACACACACACACACACACACACACAGAACTCTAACCTAGTACTCCAGTGACTTTGAAATAGCTCTACACACCTTGACCAGGTCATCAGGAACTCTTTTTTTTAGAATGGCATCAGCATTGGGATCAGGAGACAAGGACAGACAATTCACAAATGAGGTAAGAAGTTTAAGATGTAGAAGAGGAGAGAAGAGGTCAAGACTAAGAACATGACCCAGCTCACTTCTATGATATCGGAGTGAATTAGTCCCTGTTATTGTCACTCACCAGGAACTAACACGTAATCAGAGAGAGTGGAGAAAGAAGAACTAAAATCATCTACTGTAACTGTGTCACGTGGGTGTCTCCACCTCCCCGCACCTTTAGGAGACCAGAGCATAGACTGTATAGTATAAGGACCAGAGGCAGGTCTGAGTTATAGACTGTATATAAAAGTCTGAGATTATGGATCAAATTTTCCACAAGCCACAGATCTTCAGAACATTCTGACATTAAAATGGCATTTTTCAGACAGATCAGGAGAAAATGAACCTGTTTCTGTCTCAGCAACAAACTCTTGTGAGCTCTGGCAACAACAAAACTGTTAGGTTTTGGTTTCACTGCTGCTGTATTGCTGTAGTAGTTAAAACTGAAATAAAACTTGTATTTGCGTAATAATACTATTATTGTTATTATTATTGTAACATTTTGGAGGGAAAGAAGACAGTCTAAGACTGATATGATCTTGTACTGGGTTGATCAGATATAAAACTAGTAGATAAAACGAGCAGCAAAATCAGACATAAATTCCAACTGTATCTAGTGTCGTATTGTGTTGTTGTTATGGCTTTGACCGTGGTTTGACATGAACAAGCAATAACGACCGCACCCACTCAGGAGACAGGAAGTGTACACCATTTGTTACCATTGGCGCTGCTTGTAATGGCTCATCTTTTGTTATAAAGCATCTTTGATGTAATCAGCTGCAGTAGATACATTTCAGAGAGGGAGGACATGATGAAGATTAGAGAGGTAGGTAATTAAGGGACAGACTGCAGTGTGGGCTGCAGGACTAATGAAAAAGGTTTGGTGGTCAGACTCAGGACAATGTAGGAGCTGACTGAATCCGGAAGGTGGCAGTAATCCAACTACTGCACGGAAGTTTTCCATATTTCCGGTTCCGGTCCGCTTGACAGCAGCCTTTCTCGTCAAAATATCAGTGCTAAAGGGTGGATGGATGTGTTACCATTAGCAGACACATTAATGTAAAACCATGGAGGACAAGGCACAGATACAAGAAGCAATTAAAATCCAGGGTGAAGTGGTCCGGAAGTTGAAGTCAGAGAAGGCGAGCAAAGACCAGGTCAGTCTTCCTTCAGGTTTTTAATGGTGATGAAAAGGCAGGTCTGCGGCATGCAGTGAACAGCATGTTAACATAGGAGAGCTAGCTACTTAGCCCTGAGACCCGGACATGAACTTCATTCATACAGCACAGCACAGCTAAGCTACCCGGCCTCAGCTAGCTAGTGCTAACATAGTGTAACTGACTGGACGTTAGCATACCGACTGTAGAGGTAGATACAGAACATTATATTAACAAAGGAGAGGTTTTAGTCCAGACTGACACGATGTGTTGAACTCAACACTTTCAACTCAAACCTTTCACTCGAACATGTGAACAGACAGATGATGCAATAACTCTCCTCATTAACACAGACGGTGTTTGACAGTTTGAAGCTGACCGGGTTTCTTCAGGTGTCCCCCCCTTATCACAATAAGATCTGAGGTCTTCCAGGGACAAGATACCACCAAGCCCTAAATATATCCGACAGCTTTATCATCAGAATATTACCGAAACAAGTTGTCGGTCTTTATCTCACAGTGAAATAAGATGACAGCATGTATTTAAAGTGACAGAATAGTTAGTGGATCCTCTGTGATGTTGGTCTTCTTCTGACAGACACCACAGAAGAAGTGACATCAGGTGGAGGCAAGTGGTAGGAGGTGGAGAGAGGTGGAGAGAGATGGAGAGAGGTGGAGGGAGGTGGAGAGAGGTGGAGAGAGATGGAGAGAGGTGGAGGGAGGTGGAGAGAGATGGAGAGATGTGGAGGGAGGTGGAGAGAGTTGGAGGTGGAGGCCCACTCATGGAGAATGATTAAAGCTGAGGTTTTAAGTGTTTTGTGAGACAAACATGTAATAACAGATGTTATTAAAGGAGTGTCACAGTGAATAGTCATCAGACAGCTGGCTGTATCTCAGACCTATCTGAATTCTCTGTTGTTGTGTCAGGGACAGTGAGACCATCACATGTTTAACCATGTGACAGGTAGTGGTTGAAGAGAGAGACACAGTTCAACAGACCTTTCACTGCAGACATCATGACTTCAGCAGGAGAAGCACTAGTGTTAGTACTTTCATTTTCAAAGGCTCTGTGGTGTTCAGGTGTCACAGTCACAAATCAAACGTTTTTCTATAGGCATGTATCTTGGTAGTAGGACTGACTCATGGTCTTTATTTGGACAGAAGTCAGATTTCACCATCTTTATTGCATTTTAGGAAACATGACATATTAAATCACGGATTTAACTGCAACATGCTGGACACAGATACACTCAGTACGACACACAGTGACCTGTCTTTCTGTCTGTCTGCTTGTCTGCCTGCCTGTGTGTGTGTGTGTGTGTGTGTGTGTGTGTGTGTGAGCTGTATTGGGCTGGCTGCTTTGATTGACTTGGTGCATCTCATGTTCTATCCTACATGCTGTGATGATGATGATGATGCATCATGCCCCGCCCTCCCCTAGTGCTAGGGTTGCTTACCAATTTTTTCCTGTTCTTCCTGCCTGACTGTGGATGACGTTAATCCAAGCAGCATCATCAGAACTGTGTTTAAAGTTGTTCATATGATATAAATCTATGATTTATCTACAGGTAAATTCAGTTATAGTGACGGTAAATTGTGTGTTTAGACCAAAGTGTTTGGATTCTGATTCCGCTGATCAGTTGTGGTTCTTAACGAGTCTGGACCCTGAGTGCTTGGTGCACTTTAATAATTGTAACTGAACCAGATAATAAATGTACCAAACTCATGAATAAATGAGTGTTAGCACAGATTTGACTGAGGAGGGTGGGGCATGTGAAGGAGAGGGAGACCGGTGCAACACGTCGAACACCAAACACCCATGACAAAACACCTGCACCAGCATGGTGTTTTGTCATGCCAGCAGTGCATCCTCCCGTGGCACAGGTCGGTCTTCCACAGGTGTAGCATCAACAAAACAAAGACAAAATGTATCACCATGTACAGTCTTCTTCTTCTTCTGTTGGTTTCAATGATTGGTGAGTGGCATAGCACCATCCACCGTACCAGTAGCCATATCCTGGTACTGAAACTACTGCAAATGAAATTTGTTGAGGAATTGATGACCAGAATCAGAATTATTCAATTTCTTATGATTCACAACCCCTGAAGGAAATCTGCATTAACCCATGATCTTGCTTTCTGGTACAGGACCCTGATGTCTCTGCTACAGAACAATAACCAGATAAAATAACTGTGTGTGTGTGTGTGTGTGTGTGTGTGTGTGTGTGTGTGTGTGTGTGTGTGAGCTGTATTGGGCTGGCTGCTTTGATTGACTTGGTGCATCTCATGTTCTATCCTACATGCTGTGATGATGATGATGATGCATCATGCCCCGCCCCTAGTTTCAAGCAAATTCTTATCTGCATTCCACACAATTTAGACATTAGCATAGTGAGAGCACCACCAAACAAGACAAGACACACACACACACACACACACACACACACAGAACTCTAACCTAGTACTCCAGTGACTTTGAAATAGCTCTACACACCTTGACCAGGTCATCAGGAACTCTTTTTTTTAGAATGGCATCAGCATTGGGATCAGGAGACAAGGACAGACAATTCACAAATGAGGTAAGAAGTTTAAGATGTAGAAGAGGAGAGAAGAGGTCAAGACTAAGAACATGACCCAGCTCACTTCTATGATATCGGAGTGAATTAGTCCCTGTTATTGTCACTCACCAGGAACTAACACGTAATCAGAGAGAGTGGAGAAAGAAGAACTAAAATCATCTACTGTAACTGTGTCACGTGGGTGTCTCCACCTCCCCGCACCTTTAGGAGACCAGAGCATAGACTGTATAGTATAAGGACCAGAGGCAGGTCTGAGTTATAGACTGTATATAAAAGTCTGAGATTATGGATCAAATTTTCCACAAGCCACAGATCTTCAGAACATTCTGACATTAAAATGGCATTTTTCAGACAGATCAGGAGAAAATGAACCTGTTTCTGTCTCAGCAACAAACTCTTGTGAGCTCTGGCAACAACAAAACTGTTAGGTTTTGGTTTCACTGCTGCTGTATTGCTGTAGTAGTTAAAACTGAAATAAAACTTGTATTTGCGTAATAATACTATTATTGTTATTATTATTGTAACATTTTGGAGGGAAAGAAGACAGTCTAAGACTGATATGATCTTGTACTGGGTTGATCAGATATAAAACTAGTAGATAAAACGAGCAGCAAAATCAGACATAAATTCCAACTGTATCTAGTGTCGTATTGTGTTGTTGTTATGGCTTTGACCGTGGTTTGACATGAACAAGCAATAACGACCGCACCCACTCAGGAGACAGGAAGTGTACACCATTTGTTACCATTGGCGCTGCTTGTAATGGCTCATCTTTTGTTATAAAGCATCTTTGATGTAATCAGCTGCAGTAGATACATTTCAGAGAGGGAGGACATGATGAAGATTAGAGAGGTAGGTAATTAAGGGACAGACTGCAGTGTGGGCTGCAGGACTAATGAAAAAGGTTTGGTGGTCAGACTCAGGACAATGTAGGAGCTGACTGAATCCGGAAGGTGGCAGTAATCCAACTACTGCACGGAAGTTTTCCTTATTTCCGGTTCCGGTCCGCTTGACAGCAGCCTTTCTCGTCAAAATATCAGTGCTAAAGGGTGGATGGATGTGTTACCATTAGCAGACACATTAATGTAAAACCATGGAGGACAAGGCACAGATACAAGAAGCAATTAAAATCCAGGGTGAAGTGGTCCGGAAGTTGAAGTCAGAGAAGGCGAGCAAAGACCAGGTCAGTCTTCCTTCAGGTTTTTAATGGTGATGAAAAGGCAGGTCTGCGGCATGCAGTGAACAGCATGTTAACATAGGAGAGCTAGCTACTTAGCCCTGAGACCCGGACATGAACTTCATTCATACAGCACAGCACAGCTAAGCTACCCGGCCTCAGCTAGCTAGTGCTAACATAGTGTAACTGACTGGACGTTAGCATACCGACTGTAGAGGTAGATACAGAACATTATATTAACAAAGGAGAGGTTTTAGTCCAGACTGACACGATGTGTTGAACTCAACACTTTCAACTCAAACCTTTCACTCGAACATGTGAACAGACAGATGATGCAATTGTCATGGTTTGTTCTCCATACATACCTGCCTTCAGTTGTTTTCCACTCATCACTCCCTTGCTCACCCCATCTGCCAGCCACACCCACCTCGTCAGTCACTTCATTCACCTGTTCACTCAGCTGCAGCTCTTCAGCAATCAAGCCTGGTTAAAAGCTCCACTCTCCTCCACACTCACTGCCAGATTGTTCTTTGTTCCCATGAAAGACTTTCCAGCGTTTACTCTTCATCTGATCTCCCGGTTCCGACCCTGCCTGCTCCCGACCTACCCGCCTTGTCTCTGCCCTGGTAATTACTTCAGCCCTTCTGTTTTTGACCACGATTCTGCCTTGCCTCTTCCTGGTCTTCGTCTGCCTGTTCTCGGGGCTGCTCTGAGTCCTCCACCTCCACTACTGCAGCGTGTGAGTTCTCCTCGTTTCCCCATTGATCATCGCTGGGACAGAGTCCTCATCTCGACCATCGTGAGTGTTCCTGGGTTACTCACCTGCTGGTTTTTTCCACAGTTTTATTCTCCCTCGATTTCCCAAGCCCCTCAAAAAGACTAGCCATTCCTTTTGAAATTAACTGTGTTTATTTACCTGCACTACTACCATAAGAATCATTACACTCTAATCATCGTCTGTCGTGCTTTTGAAGCTGACCGGGTTTCTTCAGGTGTCCCCCCCTTATCACAATAAGATCTGAGGTCTTCCAGGGACAAGATACCACCAAGCCCTAAATATATCCGACAGCTTTATCATCAGAATATTACCGAAACAAGTTGTCGGTCTTTATCTCACAGTGAAATAAGATGACAGCATGTATTTAAAGTGACAGAATAGTTAGTGGATCCTCTGTGATGTTGGTCTTCTTCTGACAGACACCACAGAAGAAGTGACATCAGGTGGAGGCAAGTGGCAGGAGGTGGTGGGAGGTGGAGAGAGATGGAGAGATGTGGAGAGAGGTGGAGGGAGGTGGAGAGAGATGGAGAGAGGTGGAGGGAGGTGGAGAGAGTTGGAGAGATGCGGAGGGAGGTGGAGAGAGGTGGAGGGAGGTGGAGAGAGATGGAGAGATGTGGAGAGAGGTGGAGAGAGATGGAGAGATGCGGAGGGAGGTGGAGAGAGTTGGAGGTGGAGGCCCACTCATGGAGAATGATTAAAGCTGAGGTTTTAAGTGTTTTGTGAGACAAACATGTAATAACAGATGTTATTAAAGGAGTGTCACAGTGAATAGTCATCAGACAGCTGGCTGTATCTCAGACCTATCTGAATTCTCTGTTGTTGTGTCAGGGACAGTGAGACCATCACATGTTTAACCATGTGACAGGTAGTGGTTGAAGAGAGAGACACAGTTCAACAGACCTTTCACTGCAGACATCATGACTTCAGCAGGAGAAGCACTAGTGTTAGTACTTTCATTTTCAAAGGCTCTGTGGTGTTCAGGTGTCACAGTCACAAATCAAACGTTTTTCTATAGGCATGTATCTTGGTAGTAGGACTGACTCATGGTCTTTATTTGGACAGAAGTCAGATTTCACCATCTTTATTGCATTTTAGGAAACATGACATATTAAATCACGGATTTAACTGCAACATGCTGGACACAGATACACTCAGTACGACACACAGTGACCTGTCTTTCTGTCTGTC